AGCTTCTCAGGACAACAAACTAAGCTTAGGACCAAGGCTCTTCCAATTTCCGATTTCCGATTTCCGAGTTATATACAACTTACGTTGTCTCTTTAGTTCTGGTTCTCTTCGGTCTATAGGGTAGTAAGGGTGGCGCGTTGCAAGGGAGGGCCTTCATTGAACTCTCGTGTTTCGAAAGCCCTTTAATTGTTGTATGTATGTAATTCGAAGCCGCGATGTTGGGAACTTGGGCGTCGCGTCGGTCCATCATGATAATAGGGCTTAGCGGACAATAGAGGTGACGAAACCCATTCCACCGTCTGTGTACCGATGCGCTGATGTGTGGTGGGATGTGCGGTGGGTGGGACAATAAGTAATGGGAACGATGTCGATGCGACGCGTACGATGACAAGGTTAAGAATAGAACGGGACAATGAGAAAATTTGGGCGTTGAACAATTATCTTGATTAACGAGCGACGGGTTTCGATGATATGATCTCTATACGGACTAAGGTGGGTGCACAACAGAACAAAAAAGATTCAAGTTACTTAGTTGAACAGTGTGAACAGAAACAAAAACATTGGTAGGCAGGAAACGCGGAACAGCGAACTGTCGCTCAACAAAATCGCAAAATAAAAAAGATTGGATTGCTAATAATTGAAGTTGCATTGGTACAGAAAGATGCTAATGAATGAATGAAAATAAACTAGAACGACGAATCACAAGAAGAAAAAAAAGAAAGTGTAGTGGAAGGCAATGTAGAAGGAAAAAATAAGATAGGGTAAGGACTGTGATTATTGAACAGCTTGGTTACAATATGGTAGCGATGACGATAGGCAATGGGCAATGGCAATGAGTGGTACTGTACTGTATAGTTGGAGCTGGAGTTGGCATTGGTTGAGGGCGTTCGCACCGCGAACGGTTTTTTGTTGGTTGCTGATTCTTGTTGATGACGTGTTCGCGTGAGTGTGGTGGATGGAGAGATGAGAGAGGAACGAAAGAGAGGGGAAGAGATGATGGTACAAGCGGTGCAAGAATGGAATTGGCGGTGGTACAAGAAAATGAGGAGAGTGATGAAAAGAGGATTATAATTACGTCGATAAAGTACTGCACAAGAAACGATGACTGGACGATGCTGGTGGTAATGATGCTGAAACCAAGAGAGGAGAAGAGTCGTTTTTGGCGTAGGCTTCATCGACGACGGACGGCGGTTGCTGCGTGTAAGCCAAGCGAGGAGCGTCGCGAACCAGGACGGGGCCTGCAGTGAGCGGGCAGAGCGAGGCGAGCAGGCATGAAGGAGCGGCATAACCGGTCGTTTACAGCGCGCAGCGGGGCGCATATACGAAGTACAAATGCAAATCGTGGCAGGCATAGTCGAACTTGAGAATCCCGCCTATGACACATTCGCCACCTCGATGAAGCTGCGCCACGACCAGCCCGCGCTTGGGGTGGAGGACGAGTGGTCGTCGTCGTTGTGCAGGTCGATGAAGCTCTTGAGCGGGAACCAGTCCTTCGTCTTGGTCGTGCGGCGCGTCGCACGGGGACGTTGGTACGGGTACCTGCTGTCGCTGGTAGAAGTGGGGAGAGGATGCTCGTTCTCGTTCTCCTGTGAGCGGGGAGGGAATTGGTAGCTCGACAGGTATGAAGCAGAGGGTGTGGAAGGGAAGGGTG